TATATATATATATATATATATATATATATAGGTCAGTGGCCCTTGGCTTGGTATTGTTGGCAGAATTCGGCCCTCGGCGAAAACTAATTGAGAAACCCTGCTTTAGAGGTTTATGTATAATATCGCACTGATCGCCTGGCTCACCTGTTATCTAGCCAACACCAGGTGTGAAGGTTTTATTATTCTGCAGAATTATTCGTTATCCGTTATTCGTTTTGAAGCCATTATCCGCGTCTTTCCGAATAAGGTATTCGGCTTCGGGCACACCCCTACTAATAAGTCAAATCTCAAATAACTGCTTTGATGGCTTTTGTTATACACACTTAAATGATAGAACTACTTGTGTTGTCCAGTCTATAAAGACTGTGACTGTTCTCCGATTAGTGAGGTCAAAATATAAATCTAATGCAGGATCTAGAAAAAATCTGATTGTGTTTAAACCAGAAAAATGCTAAATAAATTAACAAAAAACAATTTTAGAGCTTGGGCTCCTAAACATTAGATCACTCACACCCAAAGCAGTTATTGTAAATGAAATGACAACAGATAATACTTTTGATGTACTCTGCTTGACTGAAACCTGGCTTAAACCAAACTTAAATCAAACATTTGCATTAGCATACCTCTGCGCACCCGGTTTGCGCAGACAGGATACGTCATCAGCACGTTCACGCACGCTGTGCAGACAGAGCGAGAATGGCAGACAAACATCAATAACCTAATCTTCCTTCCTGGTATTGTACTACTTTTAAAGTTTTCTCACCGGTGAATGACACATAATGTAGCCCAGCGGTTCCCAATTCTAGTCCTAGCGCTCCCCCGCTCTGCATATTTTGCGTGTCTCGCTTAGTTAACACACCCGATTCAGATAACCAGCACGTTAGAAGAGAGCTACGTGCATGAACTGTGTTCTGATCGATATGATCCCTACACAGTGTTCATTGCTCCCTACTCCCTGAGCAGGGGAAATCCGTTGAAGTTTACTTCACTTCGGAACATGGACTGGAATTGGGAACCGCTGATGTAGCCTATTGTAGTAATGTTGTTTCTGGTATTCTGGTCTGGGAGCGTATGTGCGTTCTGGGGGGGTGGCTTTGGACGGTGTTTTCAGGGGGGGGGGGACGTTCGCTTTCAGTGCTATCAGGCTAAAGTTAGCATTTTCCAAGATCTCCTACTGCACCTTTAATGTTACACTGTCAGATATGCAGAAAAAAACCTCTCCTAACTCTTGTTCTGGCTACCGTGTGTAGACTGCCAGGGCCGCCAAAAATGCACATGAACTAGATGAAATGACTAGCAATATGGACGCTATCTTCTCTAATACATTAGAAGCTGTTGCCCCCGTCAAAAAAAAAGGTTAGAGAAAAACGTACTGTACCATGGTACAACAGTAATGCCCATTCTCTCAAGGAAAAAAAACTTGTAATCTTGAGCGCAAATGGAGAAAACTTGGAAGTTTTTTGAATTATGTGAAAAAACTGTATGTCCAGCTATAGACAGGCTCTAAAACAGGGGTCTCCAAACTTGGTCCTGGAGAGCCGGTGTCCTGCAGAGTTTAGCTCCAACCCTAATTGAAAACACCTGAAGCAGCTAATTGAGCTCTTACTAGGCATACTAGAAACTTCCAGGCAGGTGTGTTGTGGCAAGTTGGAGCTAAACTCTGCAGGACACCGGCCCTCCAGGATCAAGTTTGGAGACCCCTGCTCTAAAAGCTGCCAGGACCGAGCATATTTGCAAACTTATAGAAATAACTAAAACAATCCAAGGTTTTTATTTAGCACAGTGGCTAGATTAACAAATAATCAGATGTCGCCCAATCTAAATATTTCCTTAGAGTTTAGTAGTAATGACTTTATGAATTTCTTCACTGATAAAATAGATAGCATCAGAAATACAATAACAAATGTAGAATCATTCATAGGTTCATTCGTTGCACCCAAAGAAAAATGGCAGTGCTTTACAACTATAGGACGGATGAGCTAAATAAACTTATCACTGCATCTAAACCAACAACATGTTTATTGGATCCTGAACCCACTAAATTACTGAAAGAGTTGTTACCTACTGCAGAAGAACAGCTTCTCAATATTATTAACTCACCATTATCTCTATGTCACGTCCCAAAACCCTTCAAGCTGGTGGTTTTTAAGAAACCACAACTAGATCTTTGTGAACTGGCAAATTACAGACCGATTTCAAATATTACGTTTATATCTAAAATTTTAGAAAAAGCTGTGTCTGCTCAATTGTGCTCCTTCCTGGAAAAAAAAGATGTCTATGAAGAATTTCAGTCAGCTTTCAGGCCCCATCTTAGCACAGAAACTGCACTTGTTAAAATTATGATGGGCTTCTTGTGTCAGATCAAAGCTGCATCTCATTATTAGTTTTATTGCGTTCGACACTATAGATCGTGACATACTTCTATATACTTATCTAATTTTAGGCAGTTTCTATAGCATTAACTTACTGACAAATGTCGAGAGCGCAGTAATGTAACGCAATATCACATCAATGTAATGTGCTAGCACGATTCTCTCCACTCGCAAGCATTTCCTTTGCTCACACAAAACTTCGCTCACACAAAATGCTTTTGAATAGACAGTGTTCTCTTATGAATTGGCTCTGCTCTCACTCAGATATTGCATGTGCACACTCAAACTTTGTACCTGCATCATTTAAGACCAAGATCTTTTTTAATTCAGGTAAAGAGTAGGCTTATCCCACTGAATGGAAGCAAGCTGATTATCAGCCTTATTTAGTTATTTATTTTATTATGTAATGCTTATTTGAGTTAAGTGTATGCATATAAATGCAGATATGCATTTATTAAATTATTTTATTTAGTGCATTTATATTTTGTTGTTTTTGTATATAGTTCTACAATGTATTGTATATAGTTCCCAGTTCCACAAATAAATCACTGAAGGTGCTTCTGAAATTAGTGAGGGTGCTCTAGACCAGAGCATGTGAGCGAAGCTCCGCTCCGTTTTCCGCTCTATGGACGTGCGCTCCGCTCAGTCGCTGCAACCGCTCGAGCAAGCGCTCCGTTAACATTCCGCTCACGCTCACAGTAAACCAATTCCCGCTCAGATCCCGCTCCGACATAACATTTCTCGAGTAGGCCTAATTGTTTACTGTTTGTAACGAAATTCTTAGATTATTGTCTAAAATTAAGCATGCTGATAAATAGCAATTATCATGTTTCAGAGCGAAATTCTTACATTCTTCTTAATTTTATTAATTGTAATGTATTGATTAATTTTTATTAAATATATGAATCTAACCTTAGCAAACCTACCTAAAATGCAAAAACTGAAAAAGTGTATTTGATTTTCGTTAACTTTATTTCCGTGAAAATAGCTAGCTTGGACAAAGTGTCAGGCTTCAGCATTCGCTGTGCCCGAAAACACTCGCTCTGCACTGGAAGAAGCACTGGGGATGCTGGAGATTTCGCGGGCGACCTTGGCTAGTTGAGGGAGGGATCCAGCACTGGTTTTCCAAAATCCAAGTGGTGTAGGCTAATATCTTCTGTACTCTGTAGTTCTGTATTTAGGCCTATATACAGCTGTGTGTTAGCTTAGGTCTACAAATGATTATTTATTAATTTTAAGCAATAATGATTTTAATAAGTAATTACGAAATATAATAATTCGTTCCACGATTTAGGCCTACTAAAACTAGGGAATGAACGAATTAACGAACGAATGAATTCGTGGCAGCTAAGCCTAAACAAGAGAACAAATACTTAATTCGTGGCCATAATGTAGTCCTAGCATAAAAGAGAACTAGCCTATTCTAAATTCGTTGGCCGTGCTTGTCTGTATGTCATGATCGGGGCTCCGTACAAACGAATATAACCTTAGCCTACCTGTTTATTCATTTATTATGGTATGTAACTAGCTCACCTTTCGCAGCACCATGTTTGCGTTGCACATCCTCGTGCTTTCTGGCAATGTGCCGCTTCAGATTCCAATATGAATCTTTACTAACTCTCCCCGCACTCCCTCTCAGTTTCTTCTCCCTGCTCATTCTTAACTTAGATTTTTTACTTTACATTTATGTATAAGGCTTGCAACTTCGTTGAAACAATATCTGAACTCCATAACTGCTCTACTATTCTCGATCTCGAACAAGCAAATCACCAAACGGCATTCTGGGTTGAGCAAGCGGCGCTGAGCGTATTGAGCGAGCGGAGCGGAATCTTCAGAAAGGCGCTCTGCGCTCTTAAGGAAATATTACCACTCCGCTCCGGCTCCACTCCGCTCACATGCTCTGCTCTAGACTTAATGCACATTTTCACATATTTTGCCCCATCCATTGCAATGGTTATCACTATGTCAATCACTGCTATTTCGAGAGTGAATCCCGCATAAATATGCGGATATCATTCCTGAAACTTTGCAAAGTATGTGTGACCGAAAAAAAGTTTTGCATTTTGAATGGATTATATAGCCTAGAAAGCTTGCAAAGAACGCTCCCTTTATAATCACTAACAAGCTGTCACCTCCTCATTGCGATCTCACAAAGTTCTGTTATGACCAATGAATGTCTCTACACTTAATTAACACGCGATTAATCCATTATTTACATCGTGTATATGTTATAATGAGATGATTCGACTGAAGAACTCAGCATGGAACAAAAACTGGTGTGTTGAAGCCTTTATGTATGAGACAAAACCAACATATACGTACTGTCATGAGGATGATGAAAATGTTTTCATTTGAGTAAAGCATTTAAGTCCCTTTAAGTGTTTTTCTTCATTGAATATGTAAAATGTTTCATATGGTAACATCTAATTTATTTGATTTTATTTAACCCAAAAATATTAACCTAATTAATGTATACATTAGGTTACTGTGATAAAATACAATTTAAAGGTTAGATGAGATAGAAATAGCTCTCTAAGATAACATTTGCAGGTTAGCACTTCTTAATAGTGTACCATAGATTTATAACGATAGAGGCGTTGTGACAACAAAGAAAAATCCAATAGCAGGCTTTATTAAAAAGAGCGTAGTCAGGACAGGCAGGGTCAGATACCAGCAAACAATAACATCCAAGGCACAGACAAAAAGAGTAATCCAACAAGACGGGCAATGATCAGGGCAGGCAGCTGTCAATCAAAAGCAAGGTAACAGTCCAAGGATCAAAACACGAGAAAGTCAAAACTTAGGAACATGGAAACTATGAAACACGGAAGGGCTAAACATTCAATCACCAGCGATGTGAGCATCTGTGTGTGCTGTTCTTATAGTGTGAGACTGATGAGGTGATGAGAGACAGGTGATTGCAATTGATGATGAGTCCGGGCAAAGGATTATGGGAAATGGAGCTAGAGGGACTGCAGATGAAACTTCAAAAATTCACTGCTATTTCAACATAAATAGTTAATAAATAAAGTATATCCAATCACAGAAGAAAACAGTCTGAAAATGTGTGAAAAGAACACAAAGTCCATGAAATATGTATCTGCTAATATACTACTTTCTTTTTCTATTGGTCTCAGGAATTGTCAGTCTGCAGTAAACAAAGCAGATTTTATTACATCTATTACTAGTCTTTCAAGACTAAACCTCATGGCCCTGACAGAGACGTGGATCAAACCAGAGGACACTGCTACTCCTGTAGCACTCTCCAAAAATTTCTCATTTTCCCACACTCCCTGTTTAATAGGAAGAGGTGGAGGTACTGGTCTGCTTATCTCTAATGATTGGAAATGTATTCCTTTACTTTCTCTGGGCATTAGCAGCTCCTTTGAATCACATTCAGTCACTATTACCCACCCTTTTAAAATCCATTTTGTAGTTTTTCATCAACTCCCAGGACCACAAGGTAACTTCCTGGATGAATTAAATGTGCTGCTCTTAACATTTTCTGAGGATGGTACTCTGCTAGTTATGCTTGGAGACTTCAACATCCACCTAGATCAGGGGTTCTCAAAGTCTACATTCAAAGGTCCAAATCATAGACTACATAACATGCATAACAAATAAACATGAATTGTTTGAAAAAATAAAGTGCCCTTTGCATTCAAAATACATTAATAGCAAGTGCAAAAGTGGCAAAACAATTAATTTAAGTGGCAGGAAAAGAGGTCGCCCGATAAGGGTTTTTCTCTGGCCGATGCCCATTTTTACAAATCAGGGCAGCCGATGGCCGATATATGATGCTGACTTTTTGGGCCATTTTGTTTGCCTGATTTTGTTTTTCCTTTATCTCATAAAAGCGAGTTTGAGTAAATGATTATTGCAGGGCACAAGACGGTAATAGTAGTAGTAGTAGTATCCTAATTCATAATAATAATACATAGCTGAAAGCACCTTCTCAAAACAGTTCTGAAGCATGCTTTTTGTTTATGTTTGATGACAGACACCAGTGTTTCTCACAGACTTGCAAATGCAAATTCATTCTCTGCCAGCAGAAGGCGCTGTTGAAGCGGAGATATAGTGGTTTCCCTGGTAACAGCTGTAATCAAATAAGCGCTCCGCTCACAAATGCTAGAAAAGACGAAAGTAAAATTATATCAAAGCTTTTCTGAAAACAGTCAGTTCTTTTCAGTGATACATTCATATAAAAACATCCGTGCTGTATTTTAATTTTGAAACGTGCAGTGCTCAGTTTATTCAACGAAGTAGAATCCTTTTGGAAAATCTATTTGTGGCGGTCAGTTTTGATTTTATGACGGGCCGCCACAAATAACTTCGGACAGTCTCCAAAAAGACATTCAAAAAACTAAACAAATGATTTACAAGTTTTACATGCGTTAATCAAAGTAGGAAATAATTAGTGCTCTTGAAATACGAAATGGATGCGGGTCCGGACTGAATTCCCTCCGGGTCCGGATCCGGACTAGAGTCCGGAGACACCAGTGTTTCTCACAGACTTGCAAATGCAAATTCATTCTCTGCCAGCAGAAGGCGCTGTTGAAGCGGAGATATAGTGGTTTCCCTGGTAACAGCTGTAATCAAATAAGCGCTCCGCTCACAAATGCTAGAAAAGACGAAAGTAAAATTATATCAAAGCTTTTCTGAAAACAGTCAGTTCTTTTCAGTGATACATTCATATAAAAACATCCGTGCTGTATTTTAATTTTGAAACGTGCAGTGCTCAGTTTATTCAACGAAGTAGAATCCTTTTGGAAAATCTATTTGTGGCGGTCAGTTTTGATTTTATGACGGGCCGCCACAAATAACTTCGGACAGTCTCCAAAAAGACATTCAAAAAACTAAACAAATGATTTACAAGTTTTACATGCGTTAATCAAAGTAGGAAATAATTAGTGCTCTTGAAATACGAAATGGATGCGGGTCCGGACTGAATTCCCTCCGGGTCCGGATCCGGACTAGAGTCCGGACTTTGAGAAGCACTGACCTAGATAAACCTCAGGTTGCAGACTTCCACACTCTGCTTGCCTCTTTTGATCTCAAGAGAGTGTTAACTATGGCTACTCACAAATCAGGCAACCAACTGGACCTTATTTACACACGATACTGCTCCACTGACCACTGCACACCTCCAGATGTCATCTTTCGACGTAACCTACGCTCACTCTCACCCTCCCGGCTATCTGCCATGGTTTCATCTTCGCCTCCTCCCCGTAAACAGTTATCATCTCTTGATGCTAACAGTGCTACTGATACTTTCTGCTCCACTCTTACATCTTGTTTAGACACTGTCTGCCCCTTGTCTTCCAGGCCAGGCCGTACCACCCCTTCTGCCCCTTGGCTGTCTGATGTTCTCCGCGAGCATCGTTCTAAGCTCAGGGCTGCTGAAAGGGTGTGGCGCAAATCAAAAAATACTACTGACCTTAATGTATATCCCTCCTTTGTCCTCCTCCCCCTTATTCATCAACTCTTAACAGCTGACGACTTTGCCACGTTCTTCAGTAATAAAATTAAAACCATCAGTACACAATTTTCCACACCACAATCTGTCAAGCACATCTTACCAGCAAACATACACTAGTTTACATCCTTCTCTTCACTCTCTGAGGCAGAAGTCTCCAAATTCATCCTTTCTAATCATCCTACTACTTATCCACTTGATCCTATTCCATCTCATCTCCTTCAAGCCATTTCTCCTGCAGTTGTACCTGCACTCAC